ATGAGGTTTTTGTTTGTTTGTTTGTTTTAATAAAATTTATCAGGTTAGGGTAAATACAGTGCTTGGTGCTGCTGCTCCACCCCTAATGGTTAAACTTGTCCGAGCTTTTGGCACTGGGTCTAAAGGTTCAGCTGTTTTTGAGAGTAAGGTGGGTGATGACTAATTGACTATCTTGTGATATTCTTATCTCTGATTTGTTCAATATTCTGTTGTTTGAGTACACCTTTTGCATGTTTGCAGGAGCTCCAGTATGAACCATCAAGTGGACTTCATGTCTTGGATGTTTTCTCAGAGAATGTGGACACGGGAACTTATGTGTTTGTTTTTGAGGTATTCCTCTTTGTTTGATTGAATGATTTATCTTTTCCCCCTAGGGAATCAAATTGTGCTTTTAACTGCCTGTCCATGATATTAGAACATTTAAAACACGTCTTGTAGGTGGTCCTTGAAGATTCCAACAGAAGAAGTGATTATGCTACTGGGGGCCAAACTCATGTCCCAATATATGTCACTGGAGTTATTAAAGTTGGCGATGCTGAAATTGCAGTACTGGACAGTGATCTTGGAAGCATTGAAACCCAGAAAACGTATGTTTCCATGTTTGGTCTAAAATAGCCTATTTGATAATTGATGCGTGCATTATGTCCTCTTAATAAGAAAATTACTACTGTTTACTGGTTGATATGTGAGATGTATCTCATTGTATTATTTTTGAAGTTTGAATATGTCCATGAGTTCATATCTTGCTGCACTTCTTTCTATTCAGAATATTGTATCGCATATGGTTTTGACTTTGCATTTCCAATTCCTCTTTTTCTATTCAGGCTAGATTTAACCGGAAATGATGTAGTTTCACTATCAGCTAACCACCTGGCAAAGTTGCGTTTATCTTTTCAATTGACGACATCTCATGGTCATGCTTTTGAGCCTCAACAGGTTGTATTTGCCTTTTCAATGGACAAGCCTCACGGTCTTGCATTGATTTTTTTCCCCTTTACTCAATACTCACTTTGTTGAGGATTTTTTTGTTCTGCAGGTATTTCTCAAGTTGAGACATGAGACAAATGTTGAGCACATATTTGTGGTTGGAAGTACCGGCAAGACGTTTGAAATTGTTCTAGTTAAGTATTGATTATCACATAGGCTCTTAGTTATTGGCTCTTCATTTGGATTGATATAATTCGTCTAAGCATCATAGAATTCATATGATGCATTGTGTAGTTCGTCAATAATCACTGGGTGCAAACTCATATAATGTAGTGAAAAGAGTTGAAGTGCTAGTTTTCATATGTCGCACCTAAATATTACTGGTATAGATTGGTCTACTTTAGCTGCTTTGAGAGATGGCTACGATAGGGGTAGGCACATTTTTGTTTTACCTGTGTTTCTCTTAATTAAATACTGTAAAGTTCAATTCTCATCGACCAATATTATTGTTCCTGTCTTGCTAACATTTGATCATTTTTGCATGTAGGACTTTCTTGGTTTGGTGGAGAAATTTTATTATCTCTCAGGCAGATATGACATTGAGCTGACAGTTGGAGATGCTGTCATGGTAGCTTGCTCTTCCATGTCTTTACTTAATTTCCCCTCTTTCTCCTACATCACTAGTATTCTTAGGAAAAAAATTAATTTGATCTTTCAGGAAAACTCTTTCCTGCGACCTCTTGGCCATATTGAATTAGATCTTCCAGTAGCTCCTGGGAAGGCAGCCCGTCCTCCTCCACCACCAGTGGATCCTTGCACAAGATATGGTCCCAAAGCAGAGATCACTCACTTATTTAGGGCTCCTGAAAAGCAGCCGCCCCAAAATTTGTCGCTCACTTTCTTGAGTTTGACCCTTCTGCCTTTTGTTGGCTTTTTGGTTGGGGTAAGTCTTGTCAACATTCTCAAAGCTGCTACAGTGCACATAGTTTTATTGAACTTTGACTTGTGTGAAGGTAACATTTTGACTTTTAAAATAAACAATGAATCTCTGAAAATTTTAAATCTCTGTATATAACCCCTTGTTAGCTCATTATTTCACTTATAAAAGCACAACACAGTAAAGGTTATTTTACACGACCTTAATTGGTATCTCAATGGTTCGATAACCAGTTCAATCGTAGAAACATTTAAAAGTTTTATGGATGCAGATAAATGCTTATTGGAACCGCTTCCTATGAAAACATAATCTGTTTAGATTCTTGATTCAAGATTTCATTTCGATGCAGTGATATTCAGAAAAAGATGTTTAAAACTTCCAGGATTTCTAGAGTTATCTGCATGAAGTTGGGCTTCCAATCGGGACTTTGTCTAACGGCTTTAACATTTTAAGTCGTTTATTGTCAATTTAAAGACATGGGATTATATGCTTCCTATGTTGGCATATGTCTTCTGATTCTTATGCATAGAAATTTGCGAGATTGGGGGATTGTCTGGTCACCATCGGTGTCGAATGTTCTTGCAACATTGAAGAACTTGTATTATCTTTCTTTTGGTTTGGTTAATCTTCTGCATGGTGTTTGACATTATATCTTTCTCTTCAATATAATGTGCAGCTATTACGCTTAGGAGTGAACCTAAAGAATTTCCCTTCAGCAACAGTACCTGCTACATATGCCATCCTCTTCCATGCTGGCATTGCTGCAGTTCTGTTGCTTTATTTACTTTTCTGGTTAAAGGTATGCCCTCCCTGCTTTCATGAAAATTAGTGCGGATCCATTGAACACACGAGAGTCAATTTCTTTTTAGGCGGCAATGAAGGAGGGCGTTTCATTGTCAACGAGAATATTATATCGTGTGAATATAATTACGTAATATAACATGCTTGATCGGCATGAGTGATGATCCTGATCTATAATTCGATTTGTTGGAATGCTATTTTTTCATCTAGGTTTTTTCTGGCAACTAAGTCAAACAGTTCTATTTACTTACCAACGCTTGGAAGTTATTGTTTATTTACATTTTTGTTAATGTGCAGCTGGACCTGTTCACGACGCTGAAAACAGTTGGTGTTTTAGGGGCCTTTTTGGTGTTTGTGGGACATGGAATTTTATCCCATCTGGCTTCTTCATCAGCCAAGTTGAAGTCTGCCTGAGTAATGGGAAGAATGTCTATTTATACAGAAATGACACGAGTATCTGATTATTTTTCGTTGAAGGAAATTGTACCGATTCAATTTTGTAGGATCTATATTAAACTAGGCAACTTTAGAGTTCAATCGTTACACTGCTCATTCATTTTTTTATTTAAAAATAATATTAGTTATAGCAAAAATCCATTTAATTGATTGGTAAAAATTAACTATTTAATATATCTAACCTACTCATTCAATTGGTATAATTTGGACTTTCAAGTTTTTTTTATACCGACATATTTTTATTTTATTTTCTACGTTCTTTGTAACATCAAAAATTTCAAATCATTTCGTTTTGAATTTTCTCACTACACGTGTTTTAAGTTAATGAAAATTTAATGAGGAAATTAATCATTTAGTTTTTATAGTTTTGATTTAGTTGTAAATGGGTCCTTAAACTTTAATTTGTTATAACAAAATGTTGTAAATTAGTTCTTGAATTTTACTTTTTATAATTTAACTTTTGAAGTTTTAACTTCTTAAATATTGATTTTTATATTTTAAAAAATAAAATTATAATAATTAAATTTTTTTAATCTTTATAAATATAACAAGTTTAAAATATTTTTAATCTTTATAATTTTACTTTTTAAAATATAAGGATTAATATTTAAGAGTTGAAATTTTAAGGATTAAAATGCAAGAGGTAAAATTTGAAAATTAATTTATAATTGAGTCAAAATTTTAGGGATTAAATTATAAGGAGTTAAAATTGAAGAATAGAATTATAACTAATTTAAAATTATGAGGATCAAACGGTTAATTTTTTTTAAATTTAATCATACAATTTGAAATAGCTTTTAATTATTAATAGCTCTTTTGGTTCCTATTTACAGGTCAACTTCTTGAAACTTTCATACTTTTTACGTTTCTAGTTACAATTGTAACTTGGCCGTCATTTTAAAATCTGTGAAGCAATTGATCTTTTTTCAAAAGTGACAGAATTTATTTGTGCTAGAATTTATTGCATTTTCACAGGCACTAGATATCTTGGGTTTGCTCCTATTGAATTGTGAATACTTAATGGGGTCCAAACAAATTAGGATCAAAACATAACAAACACTATATGAATGGATGCCTTGTTATACTGTTATAGTTTTAAAACTCAAACTTAAAACTTTCAATTAAAAAGGAAGAATTCTTACTAGTTGATCCAACTACTTGTGTGTGTGTGTGTGTGTGTGTAAAAGGAGTAATTTTAAAAATATTAACTAACTTTAATTTATTCTTTTATTTTGTGTAAATTTATTAAAGATGATTTTATTAATATGAGTAAATAGGGTATAAAGTAATTACTAATTTGTGTAAATTAGAGGCATGTTGATAGCAAAAAATATTACTTACTTTGGGAGAGAGAGATTCCCTATTATAAGTGAAGTCTACTTACACTTACCCAAAAAAAAAAAAATCCAAAATTTGGGAAAACAAAATGGAATTTGTTAAGTCTAATAGAAAGCAAGATACTGAAAAGCGCAAGTAGCAAGTCGTCATACACATTTTTATAATTTTTGAAAGCTAGAATATGCAGATTGTAGTGTTCATGTCCTTGCTCTCGCAAGTTATCCCCTTGAAAGTTCATCAGGCACAGAATTGGAGACAACGGAAACCACCCCCCCCCCCAAAAAAAAACAAAAAAAAAAAGAAAAGAAAAGAAAAGTGATGCTTGCAAGCACATAATATAATAGCGCCAATCTTACACCAAGAACTATTCACATTGTTCCTGTATTCCTGTTCATGAGAGTTTGTTAAGTTCCATCATTAAAATATTGTAACCAAAAACATAAAGGCAGCCCTATTCGCATATCAAAACCGTAAGCTACAGTTTTCAAACATGCCCAATCTCCTGTGACCTGCAGGTCTGCATCCTTTCAATGCAGAAAAGTAGAAAAATAGGACCTTAATAGCAAGTAATCTGTTCAAAATAAATTAATACATTATGCTACCTCAGTCCTCAAAATCCTACAGACTTGTCAAGAACTTGAATTTTCAAGAGTCCCTGACTACTATAAATTCAAACAAAATGATTCGGATGAGCTTTCACTGTGACTTACGCCTATAGTGAAGAGATCATAGAAACATGCAAAAGAACGCTCCAAGCTTAGAAAGAGTGATAATGGATAATTTTGCACTACATTTTAACCATCCAGCACCTGATATTTCGAAGGTTTACATGTCACTGGCAGAAGTCTACTTTTTGGAATACGTCACACGGCAACCCGGACGCTTTCACTTGTTAGCCACATCTTCTTCTGAATAATAAACACTGTATTATCATCACCTTGTCCTGCATCAGACATGGCCACTGCATCCCAGTGTAATGCCGGCAAGTAGTTCTTTACATACTCGACTACTGATGGCTTATCATGGATGATGACAAAACCCTTTGGCCGGAGAATTCTGTCCATCTCAATCAGTAAATCCTCGGGACTGCATTCCTTTTCAATGATATCAGAAAATATGGTCCAAGCGTGGAGTAGATCATATGTTCGAGGGTAGGTTGAAAAGGCTTCACACCTGTCACGTTTATAACCAAGAATATCATTATTAGATGCAATTTGGCGAGCGAAGTCCTCTGCAAAAGCCACAGGGAAGGTTTTATGCTAAAAATTTTGAAAATTTGATCCATAATGTAATCAAACACATGGCACGGGGCTACTGTGTCTGTGCGCACAAGGAAAAACAATACTATCACCCCACGGATTATGCAATGGTGAGAATGATAACTGACATCACATGAGGATACTGCGGTTAATCAGTATCTTGCTATTCAGGTTCACCATTTCCTTCAGGCGGGATAATCATAAACTAAAACAGCAAATTTAAGAGTAATAGCCATTCCCTTATATAACTAGTCAAAATCACTCTTCCAGGTAAGATATGAACCCTACCAATTGTGAACAGTTCCTAACAGTCCTCTGTCATATATTATCTTCAAAGTGTTTGGCCCATTTTCCGGCACCACGTTCATAACCCAGACATCTTTGTCCTTCAAAGCAGCCGCAAATGAACCCATATTTGCCTTCATGTCCATCACGTTCCTAAAAGTGTCAGGCTTAATTTTTCTGGCTAACAGAGTCCAATAAGTGTCAACTCGTTGTTGCCATACTTCCTGCATAAAATTAGTTGCCATTATTCCAAAAACTAGTAAACATACCTTTGCTTAATGAAATATATTACAAAGTTTTCAACAAATCTAACCGATATAAAGAATTCTTTTCCAAGAGGCACTTTCTGAGAGAAAATGAGCTCAAATGCACAATTTTTATGGCTTCACTATACAATTCTCCAAGAGTTTATGGCTTTCACAATTAAATTTCACATGATCGGGTCTATTAAAAAAGTTAAACATGTCATATTTTTATTGAAGAAATTATACCAAAGATATAAAGAAATGTACTCAAGTCTAATACATACAAATGTAAGCCAAAATGAACAAATACAAGACATTTGAGTGGTAGGTCGGCTTGTGATCAGTTCATCATCAAATGTAGTCAAATGAAGAACCTATGGGCTCGGCTATTTTGGTTCAAATTTTCAGTCAGCTAATGCAGAGTTTCCAGCAGATTCTTTTTCACCCGTTTGTTCTATTTTCTATTTTACTTCAGTTTTTACAGTTCAGAACTTGTTCCTAGGCCCTTCTGATGAATGAAAGGATGCACATATCAGGAGTGGTGAAACTGAAAAACTGGTATAGAAATTAAATCACCGTGTCTTTCTCAAACATTTCAGCAGAATAATCAAAATCAGCAAGACGAGGAGGTGGTGTAGTCAATCGTGCAGGCCAAGGAGCCAAACCACTTCCTTTTGCTCTATGCATCTCTGTAGACACCAGCAAAGTATGCAGTTAGTGCATTTTGCAAAAGCAAAGCATGAACTAATGCTAGAAACTGCTAATTGTCCAGAAGATATTAATCCACAAGTAAATATAGATAATGTATCGTCAGAAAATGTGAAAAGTATATTAATTAACAAAAAGTAACTGATCAACAAAGCCACTCTTAATTGTCTCAAAAAATTTTATCAGTGGCTTATGTCATTAGAGGTCAAAAACTGTATTGAATGAGGAAGGTGTTACTCACTATCAGTGTAAGGCGTGATGCAAGCTTCCATTTTCACTCCCCAGACAACATCAGGATCGTCATCAGGTTTGCAGAGTGGAGGTTGGGTACCTGGCTCTCTTCTTCGGTAGCAATCATTTGTCAGAGGCTTGACCCATATAACAGTCTGATTCCTTTTAGCAGCTATTTTCCAACACATCCTTTCTATTAGAGCACTCATTTCTCTCCATATCCTTCGATCCTCTTCATCCTGTGCATATGCTTCAGGAGATGAATATGCAAAATAACCTCCTGGCCTGAGTAACCTATCCACCTCAAGAAGAAGGATGCCATCTCTTTGGAGCCAGTCAATTCTACAACGAGAACAATGAGCAAGATCAAATGATCTACTAGGGTAAGGGAGTCTTTTTGTCCCCAAGACACCAAGATATGCTGGAATGCCTCTCTCTAAAGCAAACTGGATTTGGTTCTCATGAACATCATTGGGTGCTAATGACATTGCTATTACATTAGAGGAAAGTAGATATCCTCCAAAGCTTGCAACTCCACAGCCAACATCAAGAACACTCCGCAATCTTCCTCCATTGTTTATGTTACTGTTTGGAAAGTTAAGCATCTGTACATTCATGAGGATGATGTTAGTATACCACCAGTCATGAAAGAACTTATGTTTCAGTAGTATTCTATTCACAAACTATAATGGGGTAGTTGCCATACATTTGCCATAGATGCAATGTATTTATCAGCACCATAATGGAAGTGCGTTCCTCCACCAGGAAAAACTATCTTTTCTCCTTTTACAACCATCCATCTCTGATCAGATTTTTCTGTTGCAAGGTGGGTATGGGGTATATTAGCTTTCCATACCTGATCTCTGCTTTTGGGCCACTTGATTGGAATCTATTTTTACAGCATAAGAAATGAGAGATTAAGCCCAGAAAGTCCTCACTAGCATCTAACAAGCAAAGACTAGAAAGTCACCTTGTACCCTGGGGGAGGAGGAATCAAGCAATTATAACGCCTCTCGGGCATTGGGCAGTGTCGTTCATAATGCTCCATCAAAGACAAATCAAGTTTCAACCTTGTCTGGTATATTAGGTTTCTGTCTAGACAGGGAATCAGCTCTGAAAGACGATCATCACATACCTTAAAAAAGTAATCGGAAATAAAAGATGACTTGATTATTTCATCACAGAAACTAATATTTAACGTTAGCAGAGGGAGGAAATCAGTTCAATTCTAGGATAACTCACTGGAATTGTCTTCAGCATTGGACCATATGCTGCAATCGATTTGGAGGAAGATTCATCGGCATCTTCATCCCCTCCCCAACCAAAATGTTTTAAAGATTTACTACCGTACTCAAGAGGAGATGAACCACGATTTCGAAAACACAAGTAAAAGAAAGCACAAACAATGACCAAAACTAACACCGTGGCCAACTTCTTTCTCGGGCTTCCATCTGCTCTGTTTCGATTCATTCTTGCCACTGCAAATAAATCACCTTTCTATTATGATTCCAGCAGGTAGAAGATCAAATTGAAAATTTTCACAAGGCAAGCAATTGCTTGATCGAAACCCAACAAAAGATTTTCTCACCGCACTCACTGATTCAAAGTCCCCCAGAATGCCCTTAATTTAAAGGCGCGGACTTAATATTTCATATTCCATTTAGCATCTACGCAAAGCAGGTGAGAATCACAAAACGAAAAACTGCACAAAAAGTCGAAATCAAAATCAATGGAACATCACATGCATTGTAACAATTAGCATAAATGCATTAGCTCTTCGTGGGACCAGCTCCGAGAAAGGAAAAATTACTGTTCGATCAAATAAATCATAAACAAAAATAAATAAATAACGCCTTAAAAAAACGATGGGATAAAGATAGTGGGATTACGGTATCAAAAGCAATATAGGAATTTCGAGTAGGAACAGTAAGAGATGTGAGCTTCGAAGAATAGCACATTCAAATAAATTATGGCAAGAACATGAGTTAAGATATTCCCACTCCGAAGATGGACCAATTCAACTGGATTACTAACAAAGAGTGAACGACTTCGAATTCCGTAGCAGAAGTGCAAATGAAGCGAAAGAGCAACTGGGTAAGTGGGGACGGAATTGGAAAAAGCGTAAAGGCTACAAAAAACCGAGTCACCGACAGCAGTTGCCAGCTACTCACATGAATATGATTCCCGGATCTGGATAGCTGCAAGAGACTGACAATACTCATAACACAGAAAGACAGAATTCACGAAATTTACCCCCACGCGGGGAAAAAATGTAGTAATAGTTGGGTCCCGGGAAAAAAAAAAAAAGGTACCAAGTAGTACAGTCTTCACCATCAACGTAAAGCCAAGACATAATAATTACATCATTTTGCAAACAGCTGTGAAATCAGATCCGAGCCGTGTTCTTCGTGAATTATAGGATGAAGGTGAAATGGAATGATAGATCTAGGGGTTTTTTCATTTTTGTCCCCCATAGAAAAGGACACGAGTCCGAGCTCGAAGGGGAAAATAGAAAAGACATACATACCTTGTGCAAGAACTTCGCCTTGAGGGGAAAGAGACGGTGAGTATGTGAAGAAAAACATCCAAAATTGTAACAAATGGGATCTATAATTGAGATCCAGTGCTAATTATTAATTAATTTATTGTGTGTTAGAGGCTGGAACAGGCAAGAACTGAGAACTAAAGTCTAAGAACTGAGAACGCGAGAAATAATTTAAAATAAAGAAAATATCTTTAAGCATCGCTAAAAATATTTAATATCAGTCAAAAATGAAAAGATTTTATAGATAAAGAAACTGATTTAAAAATAATTTTAAATAAAAAATATTATAATACTTCTATTTTTTAATTAATGAATAATTATTCATATTTAATAAGAGATCATTCACTAATTAATAAATTTAAAAATATGAAAAAACTTGACAATAAGAATTAAGAAGGGACAAGTTTAGATTATATTTTAATAAGTACTCATTCCATAATTAACAAATACTCCTACTCACTAACATTTAATAAGAGGTCATTAAATTTAAAGGAATTTGGTTGTGGTAACGGATAAGTATCTATATGTAATAATTAAATATTTGTTAATTAACAAATGTCCATTTATATTTAACAAAAATTTATTTTTAATTGATATATTTAAGAATATGAAAGAGTTTGATTATAAAAAAAGGTAGATGTAAATTATGTTTTATCAAGTAATTATTTATTAGTTAATAAATACACATTTATATTTAATAAAAAGCAATTCCCTAATTGACAAATTAAAAAAAAGGATATTATAATTTTTTTTTATCTAAAATTAATTTTAAATTAGTTCCCTAATCTTGCAGTAATATCTCAAAATTTTTTTATCCTTATTTACTAGTATTAAATATTTTTGATAATTCTTGAATGATATTTTCCCATTAAAAAAGGGCAAGCAGTGGAGAAAGCTAGCGTTCATGAGAGGCACATGAGTGATGTTTTTATCTATTTATTTTGTTGGTCACTCTTGTTGCTTAAAAATATAAAACATTTTTTTAAATGTTGGATATTCAAAAAATATAAAATATTTTTAATTTTTTAAGATATAATCATTATGCTTTTTTTCTAAAAACACCCCCATTGAATAGATTACTTTATTTTTAGGATGAAACACTCTATTAAATAAAGGTAAATATAAAAAGATAGGATTATTTTAAAGATAATTAACTACTTTATTAGGAATGAAATTCGATTAAAAATATTTTATATTTTTGAACGAAAGGAATATATTCCAGCCCACCGCCAATGATTAATCTCTTTCGAGTGGTAAAGTCTATAGAATAAAAGTTTTTTTCAAATATCATTAGCGATTGAACTCCTAATAATATAAGGTCAAAAATAGGGTTAATGAGCACCATATATCATAAACTTTTAAAATATATAAAATAAACCTTAAATTTTTAAATTTGTAGCAAAATGAACTTTTATTATTAAATTTTTAAATGTCGTTACTGTTCATGCATTACTGTTTATCGTGAGCCCCAATTGATGATGATTTGTCATTGTCAATTAGCGTCACAAACTGTAAATTATTATGTTTATAGTATTCTGAACTTAAAAATTTTAAGCAAATTATCGTTGCTATTTATATATAGAAGGTTATGTAGACCAAATTAACCTCAACATGGTTCACCATTATGAATACATCATTAGCTGTGATGAATGACCTATAATTTTGTGAAATGATTTTTTGCCCTTTTTGCAATATTTTTTAAATAATTGATATCTCATATTTCTGTATACCCTATAACTCTAATTTAATATTATTTTGAATAATTTTTATTTATTTAATAATCAAAACTTGGGATTCCATTTAAAAATAAGTTTGAATATTAGATACTATTAATTAATTAATTAATTAATTTTTGTTTTAAATTTATTGATAAAATTATCGACTTTTGCATTCATTGCCTGTAAAATCCTATAATATTCAAACTTCTTTTCAAATGAAATCTTAAATTTTTACTATTAAATAAATAAACGTTATTCAAAATAAAATTAAATTAGAGTTATAGAGTATACAAAAGCATAAAATACAAATCATTTGAAAAATATTGTAAAAAGGGGCAAAAAATATTATTTCACAAAATTATGAAATGATGCATTCACCATGACAAACTACGTTGGGGTTAATTTGGTTTATATAATAGCTAACATTCTATATATAAATGGTGTGGGTAATTTATTTAAAATTTTAAAGTTTAAGATTCAAAATGTTACTAATATAATAATTTAGAGTTTATGATGCTAATTAATAATGACACATCAGTATCAACTAAAGCCCATGATAAATAGTTTAAAGTTGCATAAAATTTGTATTCTAGAATTAATATCCTTTTAACTTTTGTGCGGCTAGACATGACCCATGTTTAGCCCAGCCTTTCAGGACCAGGGGAACCTTAGCTCACAATCTCGAGTGAGAAATGACATAGATCATTGAGCCGCCTCAAGCTCACCCGTACATAATACAAATTTTTTTATAAATTTAAGGATTAGGAGTTTTAATTTCTTGCCCTGTATAATAAGAAAAGGATTTATGCGTATATAGTTTCTTTCCTTGATTTCAGGGCAATATTTCTGGCCATATTCAAGTATAAAAATATTTTTTTGCCATGATCTAAAAAATATTTGAAGAATGCTACAACAATAATAAAATTTATTTCACTATGTGGGGCTGACAATAGGAATTGTACGATATTGTTGTGATATATCATATACTAGGCTTTCAAAAACATTTTAGTTAAGAGATTTTGGCCAATAACTTTTAAAAGTATACTATTTGGCCTTCCCATATGCCTCTTAACATAGTTCAAAGTTATTTAGTATGCTTTTTTTATTGGTGTCTCTTACATTCTTCTTTATTTATGCTCAAATTATCTTTAAATAATTTTTACTATTTTTTCTTTAATAGGTGCTATGCCCATTTGTTGACGTGTGTGCTTATTTTTAATTCTATCTTTACATACATATCTAGACGAATCTATCTTCAGTGCTTATCACCCTAATAAGCATTGTAATTGAATCTCCAGAATTAAAAAATTAATTTAATATTTTTATTTTATATTTTTTAAATCAAAATTATAAAAAAGTTTTAAAAATCTTTTCATGACTAGTCAGGTCTGTATTTAATTTGGAGGGTTTAATTTAATATTAAAATTTTTATATTTTTTATACATTGAGTATCCAAATGTATTGTGTATAATTTAAATTTAAAATTTTTAATTTGTAATTTTTTAAAAAAGTTGTAGTTAAAGTGTTATATATTTGTTTTTAAATATTGTATTTATAAAAAAATCAAAACTTTAAATTTGGACCTTGTAGATAAAAATTTAATACTAAATATAAACTGTCCAGAGTATTTGTAGATAGTGAATTTATAAAAATTGAATATTAAATTAAAACACCCATGTTAAATAAGTACTATCCATATTGATGATGAACACATTTATAAAATAATTATAATTTTTTATTTTAATAAATATAAAATTGAAATTTAAAAAAGCTGGGCCATTTAGATTTTTTTGCTATCTCATGAGCACCTCAATGCTCAGCACTTGTTGAGCATTGAAGATAAACCTATATCCACACATTTATCCCAATATTCTCATATTTATTGTTCTAATTTTATGCTCTTGCTATTCGTTTAAAGCCCAACATTCATTGATACATAACATAGCTAGTTTTATAGCAATTTAATAAAACTTCACTTTAAATTTATTATGTACTTTGTGGTAGCAAATAGCTCTTTTGACCCTTCTCCAATTGAACCACCCAATATCCTATGTGCAATATCCCCTTCAATTTTCCTGTTGTGTTGAACAATAGTCTCCAAATATTTAAACTATTTCACTTGAAATATGATATAATCTTTTAAGTTCACTTTCAAATTACCATTGACTGACTTCTTATTAAAATTATAATGCAAATATTTTATTTTACTCTTACTCAGACAAAAACTTTTTGACTCCAATATCCTCCCCCATAATTTAAGTTCGCAGTTAATCCATTCTTTTGTCTCTGTAATAAGAACTATATTATCTGCAAAAATTATGCATTTGAAGATTTCTTCTTAAACATGTCCAATCAAAACATTTAAAATCAGGTCAAACAAGTAAAAATTTAAAGATTACCCTTGAAGCAGTCCAATTTTTATAAAAAAGTTCCTTGTTTCACTACTAGACATTTTTATATTAATTATTTCTCTCTTATACATATTTTGTATAACTTTAGTATAGACAACTCAAACTCCCTTTTTTCCAAGACCATCCAAAATACTTCTCCTAATTCATGGTCATGAATGTTTTCTAAATCAATAAAAACTATATAAATTTTTACCTTTATATCCATCATTAGTAGATGAATTGCTTTTGTAGCCTCCCTAGCCAAAATGATTCTAAAAAATATTTGACAATGTGAATAAACAATTTCCCAAACCCATGCCCGGCGATCAAAGCCAGTTCTGTGTAGTCTCAAGTTCAGGCTATGCCAGGATTGTTGTTGAATGAGCTTTTAGGGGCTCCTAACCTAGGTTAGGGGACGAAAAGCGCATTGCGCGATTTTAGATATCGTTCGGATAAAAAAAGAGCGTCTTGGTTGAAGCTGGTTGAAGTAGCTTCTCACTGCACGGTGGGTAGGTGGACATTAAGGCATTCTCTCTCTCCTGCTTATCTTCACAGGTCATGAATCTCTTGACGCCCTCTATCTCCTCGCTTTGCCTTTGGTCTTCAAAAGCTCGTCACCTCTTTTTTCTCGTTGCCATTGTTGACAGCCCATTTTGCTTGCTGCCATCCTCGTCCAACAAGGGATTACGTCTTGCCTTCCATGGTGTATGTGTCGCTCGCCATCCAAACTATTTTGGGTGTGTTTGGATTAAAAATTTTACAATTGAGGTTAAGATTCAACTGAGGTTAGCAAACTAAGGTTAGAAAAAAAGTCAGTTAATGTAACGTGATTTATGTTTGAATACCTTATTTTTAAAAGTCAGTTAGATAAACTGAAATTCGTTTGGATAATTTGATTCAAAAGCCAGTTGAAATGTTTAATGACAAAAATAAGCATGAATTTTTTTCTTAAATATTAAATCTTAAATAAACATGATTATATTTTTAGACTAACTAATAAGTAAAAATATTAAATTTAAAATGACAACTAATAAGTAAAATATCTTAAATATTCAATTACAAAAACCTAAAATAAATTAATGTTCAATTGATATGATTTACAAGCTAGTCTCTAATTATATCACGAACATGTTGCATCTGTCTTGATGATCTAGGTAGATTTGACGAGGATGCCTCACCAATATCTTCCTCAAGGACATCTACACTTTCATCTTCAGCTTGAATGAATTGTTCATCAGTAATTGAATTTCTCCTAATAAAGTTATGTATTGCCATTGTTGCACAAACAATTTGAACTTGTGTTTTATATTTAAATTTGGGCATTTTTCATATAATTGCAAACCTATTCTTCCATACTCCAAATGTTCTTTCTATAGTGCATCTCAAACTTGAATGATAATAATTGAAAACCTCATTATTGTTTGCAAATCCTGCAACTCGCCTGAAGTCTGGAAGGTGATAACGTTCGCAACGATATGGACCAAGATACCCATTTAGTGTTGGATAACCAGAATCAACCAAATAATATTTACCTATTAAATAAAAGGAAGATTTGTAAAATTGACCAACATTAAATTAATGCAATAATAATTATGGTAACTTTAATAAAATATACCTGGAGGTGGATGCGGAAAATGCATTGAAGGAGTTGATATGGCATTATCAAATACTCGGGCGTCATGAGCCGTACCTTCCCATCCCGTAATGACAAAAGTAAAACACATGTCCCAATCACATACAGCCATGACATTCTGTGTTGCATATCCCTTTCTTCCAATAAATTTAATTTGATCAGCAACACTAACCATGCATGGCACATGAGTGCCATCAATTGCTCCTATAGCATCCTTAAAGAATGGCCAATACCGTGGATCATTTTGAATTTTTGAATGACATCGTTGAAATGAAGGATCAAGTGGCTTTATGTTTTCCTTGGAAAGGTTAAGGCAGGCAGCTAATACTTTATGAAAATTTCTATGGATAGTTTCCCCTGAATGTTGAAATCGTTCCTGTATCATCCTATTACCAACTCCATGTCCAATTGTATTCAAAAACATTCCAACCATTTCTTCAACTCCCATTTTTTTAGACTTCTTTAGACCAAGCTCATTTAGTGTCGCACATAGTTGCCTAAACAAATGTTTTTCCATTCGAAACATTTCATAACATCGATCAGGATGACCTTGCAAAATCTCATTAACCCACATTTGCCCTGTTTGTCTGCTAGTTCTTCATGGCTCTTTACACACATATGGCATCACATATTCACCAACTAATTGACATATTTCTTCTTGCTCAGATATATCTTGTTGAAACAAGGGAAGTAGTTGATGAGCCACATCTACATCCCAACCTTCATTCAACCTAACATATATTCATTTGAATCTTCCATAATTTTCAACCTGAGGTAAAATAGTATATGAATATCATTTGTATATAATATAAAATACATAGTATATAAATATCATTTAGCAACATAAAAAATAAAGCATAAGATAAGCATTAGATAAGAGTTAAATATTCACTACAAACCAGCCAAAAGAAACTACAAGCAGGCTTTAAGTCAAAATAAACACCAGTCAAGTCATCATTAGCATAGCGAGGTACAAGTCAGCCAAAAGCAACTACAAGTAGTCTTTAAGTCAAAATAAACACCAGTCAGGTCATCATAAGCCTAGATAAAAATTCATCCTGATGTATTCTTTGAAATAAAATCCGGTAGATGGTAGACTTGGTGCTTCAACCAATTGACCAATTGATCAAGATGGTCTTTAAGTTGCCAGTAAGCATCTCGCATAGGCTTGTATAGAACAAGATTGACACATCTCCAATGTAAATCTTTATCACCAAAAACTTCTGGGAGTCCATTTAGGTGAGCCACAACTTCAGAAACTCCTATGTCATTTGCCAAAATCTTGTTCACTGTCTCTGTTCTAGCTCTATTATTCTTGGCCATTTCACTCATCGCATCTGCTATTTTCATTGAGGTAGGGACTTTTTGCCTTTTCCTCCCACTAACGCCTACCACCCTCTTTCTCTTGCCTTGACTTCCGTCACCACTAGTTCCACCAGTATTTGTGGTGACATTCAAGCCTAACAACTCATCGGTGACCCCCATAGGTGCTGCGGTGTCAGATAAATTTAACTCCTCTTCACTATCACCGGAGCCTTCTCGAAGGTCAATAGTAGGGCGGTACACATCCTCATCATCATCATCATCCTCTATTTGGGTCTGGGTAGCAGATGGCATAAAAAGTGTCTCCCCAGTTGCCAGGACATCCTTGAATATCAAGGTTAATTCCCTTGCAAATCTCAGACCTTTATATCTAAATTTTTCATAAAGAGGATTTTCCTGCAACCATTCAAATAACCAACAATTAAAATTCTCAAATTAAATTCTAATTCTAAAAACACTTAACAACTAATCCATACCAAGATTTTTCGCTCCCACCACTCATCTGGAGCATGAACAGTATTCTTGTCACTGTCCCATCTTAAGCCGGTTTCACTTGAAAACAACTTATGCCATACATTCCATTCTTTCCTCATGTTATCTAGCTTATTTTTCAATTGCTTTCGCTCATACCTTTTTCCTGTTTTTGCCTCAAACCTCTCAATTATTGCCTGCCACCCATTTTTGTTGAAAGCAGTTCCTTTCCTTTGTTTCTTGTACACTTGTTCCAAGCATTCTTTAATGAAGATTTTTGTTAAAGTTGAATTCCACACAGCTTTTCCTTTATCGCTGTTCATTGTTGTATAGACTAGCTAGCCATCACAAACATGCAAAATAAATATATATCTCTACATATATGCAAAATCAGTATATATCTCCTATTTTTAGTCTGGCATTTTTCAAATTCATGGAGTTTATATAATGAAGAACAAAAATTTAAAATAATGCAACTTGCATAAAAAGAATTGAAGCATGATAGTGATAATGATAATAATCATGCTATATTTACAAATCCTCTTTCCTGAGCTGGAGAAGATTGATTGAGATTAATTGAAAAAAGAAAATACTTTACTCTGTAGTCTTGTGTGACCTGGTCGCAACCTTACTCTAAAAAAGAAAAAAAATTAAGACCATCAAATACATGATTAAATGAAAATTCCCATCTCAAAAATCAAGTCTGGCTAGCTAGAAAAATAAAACATGTAGACACCTACATACTTTGGGAATAGCATTTGTGGTCACAAAGAGGTAAGGAAAAACTAAATCCAAACATGATCAAAAGAGCTAAATAATTATCTTTGACAAAATGAAGAGGATCCACAAGGCTATAGCTAAATCATGAAATGATATTTTAGCAATGTGGTATATATAACCTAATAAAGTCTCTAGTTTAAAGGCAGAGAAGATATCAAGATCTAACTAAATCCAGGTTGACTTTAGTGTTTCCTACGATTGAATAAGAAAAATCTCGGGTATTAATTAACAAAAGGGATTTGAAAGTTCTGAAATTGCTAAGAATCAAAATGTCCAGAGCCTAGCAAACGTGTGTTTCCTCCGGATGTTGAAGGAGCTGTCATATTTCGTCCTACTTCCAACGTGAGTGTTTAACAGCATTATAAATAACCGAACAGGGGAAGACATACACTTATGGGCATCTGTACTCATGTTACACGCACGTATTATCGCATGGGATTGAAAAAGAAGATGAACATCAGCAACTTGAGTTCTAGAACGAACAGGGATGGAAAGTAAAGAAAATAACAAGCAGGATAGGAAACAAATGTACACGTATATCTTCCTCTGCTCTAAAATAAACAAACAGGGGATGGACATGGGATAATAACAAGCACATCACTTTCCAGAGCAGCAGAGCATGACGGGTCAAGGAAGAAAAGTCTTCAAAGAAGGAACAGCAGAGCACAACAGGAAATAAGGCAACGAAGGAGACGAAAATAACGACCTTACTTGGCAAGGACAAGTGCTATGGAGTAGATCTAGAGATAAGAAGCAGACAAAGTAGACGACTGGCCGAAGTGCAGATCTGGTTCACACTGCAGAGATCGAGAGGCAATAAGGAGAAGAAGCACTTCGACGCAAGGACACGGTGGAAAGCTGAAGATTGACAAAAAAAGACTAACAGAAGAGAGCTGGAGATCCACGACTGGTTGAAGGAAGCAGACGCTGGCCGAAGGAAGCTGACGAAGCTGACGACTGGTTGAAGGAAGCAAACAAAACAGATGACTAGCCGAAGGAAGCAGATCTGGAGTGTGTTTTGAGGCAGATTGGGAAGACGACTGGCCGAAGGAAGTAGATCTGGAAGTGTGTTCACGGGTAAAAGCAAGATGTACAGGAAGCAAGGAGCAGCTTGGGTAGCTAGAAGACAAGAGAGAAAAGCAATACATTTTAAAATGCATTTAATGCTTTAGTGCATGTTTGGATTATACTGTAACTTCAGTTAGTATAGGTGAAATTGAGGTTAAGATGCAAAACACTAAAAAAAATTTGTTTGGATTAACATAATTTTTCAACCTCAATTAGCTGATAAACGCGCATTATTTATAAAGCCAACTGATCTGGCTTTTGAAGCTAAGCGTTCACGTTTGCCCGTTAAATGAGTGTTTGGATTAACAAAAATTTTTACAAGTTAAAGTGAGTTGAGATTAAAAAAAAAAGTCAGTAATTTTAATGTAATTTATACTTAATTTTAAAAAATAATTAAATAAATTAAAATTTATTTAAATAATTTAATTTAAAAATCAATTAAAATATAAAATAATAAAAATGAATAAGATATTTTTTGTACATATTTTTGTGACTTGATGTTTTTAAAAAGTAGATTACAGGTATAAAAAAATATAATTAAATTTTTTTAGATAATTTAATTTAAAAGTTAGTTTAGATATTTTATAATAAAAAAATAATTTTATGATATATATTTTTTGAACCATTTAATATTTTTAGGAAAAATAATAAACTTTTATGAATGACTAGAAGGGCATTGATTTTTTTATAAATATATTTTTTAAAAAAATATTGAACTTTATTTAAAAAAAAAAGATTCTGTATCTTCATCAAGCTTGTTTTGATATTTTCCAAATCTAAGCTATTTCCTTTTGCGGGGGCCTTTAGTTTGAAGCTTTTTTCTCAATCACGTACTTGTTAAAATTTTTAAAATTTAGAAAATAATCAAAAAATAATATTTTTTTAAAATAAATTTAACAGCTTTGGTTGGTCACAATGAATCAAACGACAACATTTTTTTATCTTCTGGCAAAAGAAAGAAAAAGCCAAAAAGCAATAAAAATTCCTCTTCCTCCTCTTTCTTCTGCTCTATCCGACAGAGCTGGCAGCCAAAAGAAGAAAGACAAATGCGAACTTAGTTTGAGCCCATTTAACCCGATGTCGGATCACCAGCTCATCATGTAGGCAGATCCGCAGGCGCAGCATGGACAAGATTCCCGAATCTTCTTCCAAAGGGAAGAAACGCTCGCGAGGGGAAGAAAGCGCCGGCGCCGATGAAACTCCATCACTCGGTACGTAATTTTATTTCCCATTGTTTTATGTTTGATGGAACTTTCTATTTTATCATCGCAGTGGTGTTAATTCTTCAATCGAAGTCGCAGTTTTGTTTTGTTTTTTTTTTTCGTCAGCTGCTGCCGCGATTTTATTTTCTTCAGCTTTCTTTTTCGGTTTTTCCCTGAGTTCTCCTGAAGTCGGTAAATTTGAAACGCAGAGAACGATCTTACATTTAGTGATACAATGGTGGCGCTTCGAATAATGCGAGCTCAGTTTCCGCAGATTGAGAAGGTTAGAGATTAACAGAGTTGGTTCTTATGATTGAAATGATTGATTCGAGAAACGCACAGAAGTGAAGAAAAAGCTGAGATCATCTTTCGATTGATTTGTGCATTGCTGATTTCACGGAAATGCGGTTTAACTCTTTTATCGTATTAGGGTATTCACATTTTCTAAAAGTTTTATGATGTGTTTTTGCAGCTTTCGGTTCAACCGTTTATTTTGAAGTCACAATTGTATAGCAGTGTCAAGGACCGAACACAGGTGGATAGGGAATTAGAGGTACATTTCTTTATTTTCATATTGCCGAAATTGTTTTTTAACCCTGCAAGTGTCAAATGCAACAATTTTATTTAAAATCCTTTCAGCATGATCCAAAAAAGCCTTTCAGTTGTACTTGTATATGAATTCCCCCATAATGAGCTGCTTGATTTATTGGGATCATGGATACACAGATCATACTTCGTTATTAGATGCCTTGTAGGACTTCCTCATTTCACCTGGAATTGAGAATTTTAAAGGGAATGATCAGTAATTTATAAAGCACGCAAGACGTTTTACTTGGTGAAATTCACGAGTGATGAGTCACATGTAATTGGCGGGAATCATGTATATAGAGGATATTGTATGCTTTTGTAGTAATTATATGGTTGAATACTAAACACGGACATCTAACATGCTTGGGAGTCCTAGGTGCCTGGATGATGGTGAAGTTGGTGCCAAATATTCCTTAGTGTTGTTTCCTTTGCTAGGCTTGGTTGCATCTTCCTTTCTGGATTGCCTATTTTATTTTCTGGGGTCCTGACTAACTAATGTGGATCATTTATTTCTTTGTGCAGTCTCTAAAGAGGGATAAAGTTCTGCGTATTTTCAAACTGAATACTGGACAAGATGACCATGCGATAATGTTTTTGAATGATTACTTAAATCAGGTTGGTTGAATAGATGAATATAATTAACTAATGTTGTCATCATCAGTATATTTATGCATTCTTTTGTTCTCAAGAATTTCTGGTGGGTTTATAATGTAATCTGTTACTAATAAGTTTATCCTAGGACCAAAAATGTTACTAGTAATCTTCTGGACTGCCATCATTTCATACCTTTTCTCTCTTTCCTTCTGAAGGATTCTTCATGTACTTACGGGTGTATTTTGCTTACTTGTTGATGCATAGATAGATCATGTTAAAAAAATGGATAACAAGAAGCAGAGGGAATATCAAGTTTTTGACTGGTTCATAATTCATGTTCTTGACTCGAAGCTTGAACCTTGCATTGAACATCAACAGCTTGTGAGTGAGATTTATTATTTTGCATATCCTTACACGGTTCTTATTTCTAGCTATGTTCATTATACTGTTTACCCATCTGAAGTCTTTACAATCTGGTAAATTTACTGACTTTGGGTGAATGAGAATATTCTAGAATCTGGCTTACTCACTTTCATAATGATAAAGTTTATCAGCTTAGATGCATTCATCAAGATGCATTTTCAGACAAGCTTAGGTTCCCATTGTTAGTGAATCTCATACCTAATAAATTTTGTCAAGATGCGTGTTCTCACATAGATGTGTGTGTTTTTGTGTGTAAGCTGGGATTATTTGTAAAACAGCTTCTCATAATTAGTGTGCTAATTTTTGCTCAGTGCTCACTCTTGTCACTTGGGGGAAAGGTGAAGGACAGTGACATATCCCTTTTAATTAATGCAGGCGTCCTTGTGAGTATGCCAGGAATCTAAAACACTGTCTCTTACTTTCCATGATTGTCTGTAAATGCAATTGTGTTGTTATAGCTATCAGTCACGCTATTGATATGCTCAAATTTGTAAACATAATATGAAGTATTTAAATATAACTTAAGAGGCACCTATCATCTCAAATAACTTATGGGGGTTATCAATTTTATATATACAATGCAAGTTTGAATATCAATCCATGTATTTTTTAAAATTTTCAGATCTGGGTTGTTGTCATGTTGTAGTTTTGCTTTTCCCCCTTTCCTTTAGCAGGGAAGGGGAAATCGGTTTTGTTTGTTTGTGCTTTGATATTGGATTGCTTTAGTAACAACCACAAACTTTCTGTAGCTTTTTTTTTCCTCTAGAATATTAATGTCTTTAAACTGATAAGGTTTTATTGTTGAACCTTAACCATTGCGAAAAAACTTTGGGGCTGAGATCGTTTTCTACTTTGTTTTTCTTCTTTCAGTTTTATATGCATGTGTTTGTGTCCTTTTTCTGAAGTCCAATGTAAAATATCATTCTTGAAAGTATGGAAGACCTGTCCTAATGCTAGTACCACTCATTTTTTAAATGAGGGAGAAAAAATGGAAAGAAAATGATCTAATTCTCAGCTCCTTAATGCTCTTCACGTGATTCTTGTGTAGTTTTTTGTGACCATCTTTGCCATCAATTTTTTATGCATGTAACATTTATACATTTTTTCAGACTCGGCAACTTATTGATCCAAACATGTATTGGTTTGCAATTCCAAGCATTGGCTCACTACTTAAGGGTCTTGCTCAGGTATGAAATTTTATGCATAAGGTGGTATGATGAGGAAAATCTCTGTATAGGCTTTAATTCTTGGCCTTGTTAAAAATTTTTATGCTCGTACCATGTTTAAGCCTGTTTAGATTCTTACAGATTCCATCAAAAGACATCGGACACTTTAAGAAATTGTTTGAGATATATACACATTATTTGTGAATTTTGGTCTAATGCTACTTAATGGAGCTTGAATGGCGTACATGGTCATCAAGCATGAGCCATCCCAGATATAGTCTTGTCCAACTATGAACTTCTATTGTTGGAGATATTTATTCCTAGAGTGCAAGGGGGAAGCTTTTGTGGGTTGTGTTGTTTGCTTGTTTCTTAGCATACGATTTGGGTGCCCATTTGGAACTGGCAGTAATTGAACTTTGTAGGAGAAAGTTTCTACTTTGTTGTACTATGAAAGGTTAACAACTTGCGAATGGCCTAGGTGCCTTAATGGCACCATCATAACCTTACTAACCATACGGTTGAGGGTTCTACACTTGCCATGGCATTTGTGAGTGTGTTAAATATGTATCTGAAATAAGAATAATAATAATTAAAAAAAAATATAACAACTTTCTTAGAGTTCTGTCAATTCTTCAACTTTGTATTTGTATTAATTCTAATTTTTTAAACGAGGAACTATGTTCAAATTAAAGGATCCTAAAATCCAATTTTTACTGTTGTTCAGGGAAGAATGGAAATTATTATTATTTTTTTAAAAAAATTGTGATGAATGTTTTTGATTTTTTTTTTCATTTTTCATTATTGTCATTTTATTTAACCCTTTTTTTCAGGGAAGAAAGGAAATTATGTCTCTCCTCAACCGTCGTAAGTATAAAGAGATGATGTTAAGTTCTTTGGAAAAGAAGCGCCTGCGAATGTCTCCACTTGATATGAGATTTCATCTACGCGATCTGATTGGATCTGGTCATCTCCAAACTAACTCGACACCAACTGGTTTAGTTGTTCGAGTCTCAAAAGATTAGGGTTTTGGAATCTCCTAGATGTATTTGGATCCATCAAATGATTTGGTGGCATCTATCATGGCTATCAAACTAACAAACAGGTTTAGTTCTTCGCACCTTGGATACAACTAATTTATTGGCTTAAATTACTTAAAAGGCTGTCTTTTGTATGGGATAATCAGATAATTTTGTTGGTGAAATGACAGCCAGTGTTATCCACCAGGTTGATCAGGAGAACGAGTCATGTGTTATTCAGCTTGATCGAGAGAGCAAGGGATGGACATCAGGCAATCACGCTAACCTTCATTGATAAACTTGGATGAATAGAAGCTAATGTGAGTCTCTTCTTCACTGGGTTTTATATAGTTCATTATAATTTGTCTTGGTTCAGTGTCTTTTAATTATGACCTTTCTTGTGGAAATTATGGTTGCTATTCATCATCTGATAAATTGATATGATTGTTAAGAACAAAAGCATATATGCATGAATTGTTTATTTTGTTTTATGATTTCATCCTACCTCACTGGATGAGTAAGTCAATATCATTCAATTCAGTTTTTAATGTTATATAAAATTTATAACAATCTGTCTTGTTCATAAATCATGAATAGTACTATTCTTTTCTTAGACTCTTTATAATGTATGGGATCTTCATCTATTTATAACAATTTTGTAAAACTTATTATTTTGAAAACAATATTTTATACGTTCTATAATTAAAAGAAAAATCCGGAAAAGAATACTTAAGCTTAAAAATGGGGGATCTAAACATAAAAAAAAAGGAATATCCTGTAAAGGATAAATGAGTTAAATAACGAGAAGATGGGTTTTGCTCTTTTGCTCTTTTCATAAAGAACAAAGTCTCGCATCCGATGAGGTGGTACACTTGCTACTGGAGAAGGGGTACTCCAACCAAACGTGATGACTTGTGCTACTGACCAATGCTTACTTTCACTATCATTAGTTCAAATGGAACTTCAAAATTTAATTCCAAACTGAAATCGAACGGACCTGCGAATCTTTGATCAGAATCCTTGATTATTAGTTATTTAATAAAGCACAGAAGGAATATTCTTTTCTTCCTAGGTACGGGTCTGCCAACCCTTTTTCTCAGCTATTAAAATATAGGAAGCACAGCTAATTTTTTCTTTCAGGGTATTATTTGCTTAGTAAATAATTGAATATCAGGCCAGTCCTTCGTTGAGATAAATCGAGTTGAATTTATGATGTATCCATGGGTCGGTAGAAATCAGAATTCTAAGTCACCCCCCCCCCCGGGGGATTTTTTTATTCTCAGTTAGAAGCCTAGTATTTGAAAGCTTCTTTAATCAGTTTATTTTCGTGGCGCTTCTCATGTTATTTGTTTCAAGTATTGTCCAGTAGGGTGAGAGTGGTTGCATTCACATCTTTGCTTCCTTTAGTCAGTTATAATTATTTAATTAGTCTATTACCTAACACTAACATAATTGTATGATAACAAGCAGCCTTACTCTACTAAATGAAGTCAAGTACATAAATAATTGTATAGCATAACTGTATAGCCAGTATACGTGAAACTTATTCAGGTTAAATATACTCAAAGGTTTAGGCTGCAGGTTGCAAAAGCTCAATTATTGTAGGACTTGCATTAACGCTATCATTGGTACATCCTAGGAACACTTGGCATATTCCCTGTTTTTAAGTGGTAGGTCTATAAAAAAAAATATATATAACAACTCGCACCGCAAGAGACCACACTAGTTAAACAATAATGATAATTGATGCAAAGACGTTGACCCATCAATTATATGGATAGTTTCTAATTGTTGGAGTGCACTTGTCTTCTCGTGGAAGTTGAAGTGCATAGAATTTGGAGAAGTTTGGCAGATTAGTAACGTTGAGAGGTGTTTAATGATTTATAGTTTATGTACTCACGTGTATCCGTACGTGTTTTTTGTTGCATTATTAATAGTCTGCTTTTAGTTCAGTTCAACATGCATCCCCTTGAGTGGAAAATTAAATATGCGAGGTAGATTGAATTAGGCGATTTAAAATATTAAATTAGATTAACCCTCGTTGCATCTGATCAGTTGATATGGTTGTTAAAGAATCATGTGGTACGGATTAATTTTCCCTCGGAAGATCTCAATGATCTTAGCACACTATGTGGGAATGCCTTTCTATTGAGGATTATATGAGTCTCTCCAAAGGTTTAATTAAACGTAGTTAATGCTTTTATCATTTTTTACAAAATTATGCTTGTTTCTCTTGACCTATAGGTATGCATGCGTTTCTCAAATTAAAGCTTGATATCTCGCTTAGTCGTCTTTATTGTGATATGATATTAAGAATAAAAACGACATTGTAATGTTGGAGAATTCGTGGCTACTAAAATAATTATAAAGTGGAAGATGTTGAGTGATACTATAGTATAATATATGACTGTACGCAATGTATCTATGGATCGCTTTATGAGTCTGGCTCGATCCAAGCCATTCTCTAATCTTCATGAATTGCAGGCTTCTAAGAATGAAGCATCTTCCCGCTCTTGCTAGCAATCAATGCCCACAAATGGTCGAAACTTGTAAGAGACCATGACATGTACTTCCCCTGATATTTTTTTTAAAAATAATTAATTGATCAGGATTAAAAAATGCAGTCAAATATGTTACAAATGTACATTTATTTTTAAATCTACCCTCAGTTTAATAATTGGCTGTTGCTTTTATATTTAATAGCAATCTCATGAATATTTAACCAACTCTCCTTTTCAATGAAGGTATACAAGAAAATTTTAATAAATACAACAAATAAAGAGATATTATTAATTTATTAATACCCCTAAAATTCCATGTTCGCTTGTAGAAAGGCTAAAGAGAGTAATTTGAAACGTTGTTAATAAAAAAAAAAATCGGTAACTCGGTGAATCTGTTATCAGATTAGTTTGGTTGACGAACTGAATCAGGGAGGTTGTGAACTAGTTAACTTGGGCGGGTTAAAGGATTGACTCGAGTTATTTTTTTTTATTTTTTTTCTCTTTTAAATGTTGAGCCCTAAATCAAATTTAAATTTTGTAATATTTTTAATGTTGTTTTTTGTTATTGTCAGAAATTTATATTTGATATTTGTATGAGACATGTATAAGATTTTATGGATGAACTTTTCATTTAGTTGAGAATTAAGGATTTCTTTATTTGAATATTACTGTTTTTCATAGTTAAATATGAATATTTTTATATATTTAAAACTAAAATATAATATTTTTATCATGAACAATCTGACTCCAGTTGATCCTTAAACGACTACTTCAATTGATTCAATAAACCATCTGGCTTTTGGTACCTTAATTTGGAATTAAATTTAAGTTTATACAATAATAATTGTCTTTTTCACTGTAGCAATAAGGAGGAGGATTTTTTTTATTATGGGAAAAAAATGCACAATATTTTTAATTTTTAGTAGTAATAGTAATTATCTTTTGTACCAGACTATTTTCTCTGGATTGTGATTGCCCCTGGCGCTTCCTTGATTAGTGGTCTGAGTATCAGACATCAGCGGAGGAAATCAAGACACGAGCAGCAGTAGATTACGGCCTTTCGTTCCTTAATCATTGTACGTACTACGTTGCCTCTACGTCGCGCTGTTTGCTGCCTCTTATTAATTAATATTAAATAATAATTATAACTTTTTAATTTATTATATAAAACTTTAACCATCAATTTATTATTTAAATACTGTGTGTTTACATTGGCCTTTGATCTTTTGGTAGTTTTTTTTTTATATTTTTTTCCTCGACTTTTTTTTGGCTCTGATCACTAATAATATCCAAACCCTCTGAATTTTGCTAGGGTGGTTCTACTTAGTACTAGTAATGTTTCTGGGTGACACCATCATAACTTGATGATTAGCAAGAACAAAACCCAAAAAGAAAACACCTTTAAACTTGTACTGTCTTCTGTATCTTTTCAGCCTTCTTTATTTTTCTTTCCTTTTGGACTTTAAATTGTGTTCCTATTTATTGATTGCATGAGATAATACAATTATTAGATTCACTATTTTGAATAACAGCGATTGTTTTGAAGATAATGGACTATACTCAACAAGTTAATCACTATAACACTTGACAGCTATAAATGAATATAATCTTCTCCATCCATTTCTCTTCACATCTTTCTCCAGCCAAATCTGGATCGTTGAATAATAATTATTGATCAAGAGTTTAAGACTACTACATTCCATTATATCTTTATAAGCACGATCATTTTATTTCCCCAAAAAAAAAAAAGCCCTTTGTCATCACGACAGCAAAGAGATAAATTACTGAGTAATTGATTGGAACTTGGAAGCGAACCAGCAGAAATAAAAATTTGTTTCATTTTGAAATGTAAATTTCAGGTTTTTTTTTTTTGTAGCCGTCGTTGGATTTTATTGGATAGTTCAAATTTGACTGAAGAGAGGCATGTTTATTTAATGAAAAAAACAATCGATTTTGATCCCTCCATGGCGACCAACCAGCAATTACTATTAACAAGGTGATTTACTTTCTGGTCTATATATGTACGTGCTTGTGATACTCTTGTGTACATATTTAAAAAGAGGTTAAAATGGTTTTGATTAACGAACCAAAAGGAAAACTAGAACAACTTTAATTATTCGAATATCCGGGAACTGGAATTTTGTCGGCATCAGCTTTTACAATTAATTAAGCTGACGGACACATATGATTTTGACGTTTCTTTCATAACTTGAAGGATGAGCTAAACGACAATGGAATTACAGTCAGTTACTTTCTTCATTCTGTTTTTTTGACCCCCATCCAATAAAAACACAGTTTAGATTGAGAATTCTCATCTGTCGAGACCTCCTTGTCTTTTTGAAGTCTAGGAGTATAAAGTTAATGTTAACTTATCATGTAGCTAACTTAATTACAAACTGCTCAATCAAGTTCTGAGAATTAATTAATTATCTCCACCATTGATGTTTCAGACCGTTTTAATTGATTATATATGTATGCAATAATGGATTTAATTGAAGTCCAATAATATGAGAAGCTCTGATTGAATATATAGACTCCGATGTTTGATTATTACCATTGACAATTCTCTTGCTTTGTCCATTTACATGTCGACAGCCAAACACGACTACGACATTTGCCTCCCTTGCATTGCTTGGCCCATGCTGTTTTATGGCCGGTTCGCAAGGTTAATTTTTCAATTCACAGATTCAAATAAAAATCACAAGTTTAATTTTAAAATAAAAATTAAATAATATAGACAAAGTTGAGTTTTTTGGAGAGTATAACCAAAAAAATAAAAAAAGTCGCTTTTAGTTTCATTATTCACTCTCTCTAGCTATATATGATCATGGTTTATAGGGAATCACTGTGATAGCAACAACCTCTTGCTTTTCTATGAAACCGTTATAGTCAAAGGGAGATCGATAGAAATGCTCGTCCCGATTTTTCAAAAAATAGGATATGAATATATGATCCTTATGTTGGCTTGAATTTGGCTGCAATAAATTATTAGTCAATTGGAAATTAACAAATAAAGAGTAAAAAAATTAAATCTCAAACTACGCGCGAGGATGCTGCAAACCGTGTAGATCTTAATCAATTAAGAAGGTTACAGAGTGAAACTGTAAACTACTAGTAGTCTTCTATACTATTCTTCTAATATTGGAAAGAATGATTACTTGATCCAATAGGCATCTCCCATTTGGATGAAATTTGACTTGAAGCACCCAGCTCAGAACTGGAGATTTAACCGAGTAATAATTAACCCCTAAGATATTAGGAGGAACCAAACTAAGCCAAGGTTAAAGTGTTTAATGTTTTGAGTTTATCAGTGTTTTTTAATCTATATATCAGATATTAAGTATAATATTATTTGTTGCACCCAACAAAAAAGTCTAACATTGTTTAATGTGGGAATTTTCATATAAAGTTAACTTTTGTTCATGGTTAACGTACATGTTAACAGTTTTTTCATTGACTAATCTGGAAGGACATTTATAATTAATCTCACTTCACTTGTGTGTGTGGCGCTCATAACACAAGTTAAATAGTTACAGATATACTGTTGCTGCGTTGGATGTAAAAAATCTTGAAATAAGTTTTTGCCCTTCCAAATTAAATAGCTAGTTAAATGCCCCCCGATCATGCATTTTTTTAAATTTACCAGTGAATCTCTCATTCAAGTGTATGTCTATCATTGATAACACATACATTCTATCTCACATTAAAGCTACACAATAGCTCAAACCAATTGTCTAATGGGAGTGAGCACACACACACACACACACAAATCAATTCCTACCGAACCAAGGCCAAACCAATATAAATGTTGTGTGGGTTTAATTTCAAATGGTGTACATAATGCAGAATAATTTTAATTGATCTGGCATGAACATGCACAAATCCCTACTAAAACCAGCAGGATCCAATTTAAATGAGCTTCAAACAATACAATTATAGATTTCAAAGTGGTCTTCATATATAATAGAAACGATTAATTATTTCATATTGAGCCTACAAGATTTTAATATATAGGAGATATATAGCTTTGCTGTTAACATTCCCTCCATAAATTAAGTTGGCACGTACAACTTTATATCAATAATAATAAGAAGAAGAATATGAATGAAACTTCAAATTTTGGATCAGAATTGAACTGGGAATGTGATGAAATTAGATGTGCAATTAGAGGAAAGGAGAAAGAAGATATATGGTTGAGATTGAGCTTTCAAGAAAGGGTGGCGGCATATGAAGATGATGGAGAATGGGCTACATGCAAACAAAACTGTTGTAGATCTTCCAGGAATGGGGTTTTGTTCTCCCTCTCTCACCAACCCAATAATGCAACTTCCACGTCAACAGCTCTTGTCGTCACTGATTGGATCCATGTGGGCCCACCTCTCTCTTCATTATTAATTTCCTAATTTCCTCTCATAATTCCCCAAAAAAAAAAAAAAAACTCATGTGATAATCATGCATGCTTATGCATTGCATTGCATGCACCCGCTGTTTCTTTACCCCAAAGCCTCTTTCTCGATCTGTTTCTCTGGGAAGGAATTAAATTGGTTTCGAGTCGTATTTGCGCCGCAAATATAAAATCAGTAAGGTGGCGTGCTTGCGCTTTCTCTGTTATCATCAGAAAGTGAAGGTCGTCGCCTAATGGCCTTGCCTTCACCTACTGATTCACTCATATTTGCCTCTTAAACACACATGCGACGTCCACATTACAATCATTCATCTTTTCTCTTTGTTTTCTTTTGTTTCATACACAGTTACATTAAAAGCCCCACGCCCATGGAGCATTTTGTCAAACTAGCTGGCTCCTGCCCCCCCAATTATTATTCAACTCTTTCATAGATAGTCTTACATATTATCAGCCCTAGCTAGCTTGCTTAGCTAACCACGGTTTCCAGAATATTAATCAGCGTGTGGGTTGAGTACAATAATTATTAAACGGTATTGATTATGATACATGTGTCTAGTTTAGTTTGAAAAATTGATATTGCTAGCTCGTACGTGTGATGGATTCGTGCCGATGCATGGGAGCCAATCATGTATATTTGAGGTGTCTTACATGACTGATGATGCTTGTGCTTGTGGAAATCAGTTTCCTGGGTTCTCAAGTTATCACAAGAATCTTCATCTGTGTCCTCTTTTTCGCTATCTGTATTTTTATTTTGAAATTGAAATATATAAATATTTAAAAATCTGAAAATGACTTAAAGTCTGGATTGTGGGTCTCTCTGACTGACTAATCATTCATTTAATTTATCCACTCCAGATACATGTATGTATAGTCTGATACACATATTAATTATCTAAATCAGGTTTTTCATGGGGCAAGGTGTGATGTTTCTTGTGATGGTGGATTTCCCTACATTGTTACTGATGAATCTATCATCTTTATTGACAAATGACACTGCTGATCAGTTTATACATAGATAGGGAATCTAGCTATAGCCACAGGCCGTTACTTTTTCATATATATGCTGCTCTATCTTATTTCAAAAGATCTGCCTTGCTTTTCAGTGGATAATAATTACGTTTCACTTTTTATTCCTCATGAATAACACTCATTTGATGAGAATATATGTAAGATCGAGAATCAGAAATCTGTCAAAAAAGATCCATTCTTTCTTATTTGATTAAATAAATATTGGCTTTAGAAACAGATCAGATGGATAAACCCATGGATTAATTGAAGGATGTGTATATATAATCACCCGAGAAATCTGATATATCTGTGAGATCAGAAAGAAAGAAAGCTAATTCTTTCTTGAATTGCAAGGACGAGAACTGTTCTGCTTTTGATTTCTTCTAAAAGTGAGTTACTTCTTTTTACGATAAAGTGAAGGAAACAGTAATGGATAGTCATTAATTATTAATTCAGGATCTAATCAGAAAACTGCAGCACTTTCAGAGAGTTTATAAAGTGAAGGACACACACTTATCTCTTTCGTTAAAGCACAAAGACGTCGTCGGCCATTTTTCCCTTTTTTCTTTTCTGGTTAAAGCTGTGGTGGAAACCTTACGTTATAAATATAATATATATATATATATATATATATTTGGAATCCGAATTTTATCTCTTTATTTGGGTTCCAATTTTCTATATCTTCTAATAATTATTTTATCCTGTATATTAATATATGCTTCTACTCTGGAAGCAGCTGTTTCAACATATCCGTTGATCTCTGTCTTTTGTCCCTCT